CCTATCTCAAAAAACCAAAAAAAAAAAAAAAAACTATATATAGTATAAACAATGGAGTATTATTCAGCCATAAAGAATATTGGAATTTTGTCATCTGCAGGAAAATAGATAGAACTGGAGTCATGATGTTAACCAAAATAAGCCAGACTCAGAAAGACAAAGTAAAGTCTAAAACACTGACATCAGAAGAGACTTATTAGACAAGAGAATGAAAATAAAAGAGGGGAAGGTGCAAGGCAGAATAATGAGAGATATCAAAATATTTACATTGAAAAACCAATATTTTATAAAATTAATAGACAATAAAATAATGTATTTGAGTAAAACCAGTGAATGTGTGTGTTACTTCCATCCAGTGTTAGGACAGTACCAGCAACTAGAAACCTCCTCTTTCTCTTCTCAATTGTGTCACTATCTTTTGCCATAGAAAAAAACCCATACTAATATAAATTTTATGACAACATCCTGCTTTTCTATATAGTAGTTCCACTAAGTTGCTTCCTAAAGAGAATAAAGTAGTTTTGCTGAGTTTTGAAATTTATATTTACATAAATGCAATTATACTGGGTGTATTTTTTTAGTGTCTTGCTTGAAATTTGTCTTGTTGCTGCATGTAGTTAGCTGTTGCTTTTTCATTTTCATTGCTATACAGAATTGCATTGTATAAATGCACCAAAATGTATGTATACGTATGTATGTTCTTTCTCATGTATATGATCAGATACCTAGCAGGTGTAAGATTTTAGAATTCTACCATTTAAAACTTTACCCTGTGACATTTAGCATTTTATGTTTCCCATGCTAATCGGAATACATAGCAGGATGAAAAATAAAGTCCAGTGTGAGTGACATTGCTTCAGATTAGTCTCCCAGTTATAACACAGGCAACCAAATTTATATCCCTTTCCATTAGGTTTATAATTGGAGATTTGCTGGATTCAGAAAATGACATCTTTGAACAGTCCAAAGAATGCGACCCTCATGGGCCAGAGGAGTCACAGAAGGCCTTCAGCCACGGGACAGAGCTCATCCCGTGGTACGTGTTGTCCATCCAAGCTGATGTGCACCAGTTCCTGCTGCAGGGGGCTACAGTCATCCATTATGACCAAGACACACATCTCTCTGCTCGCTGTTTCCTCCAGCTTCAGCCTGACAATAGCACGTTGACTTGGATGAAGCCCCCCACTGTCTCCCCAGCTAGTGCTAAAGCAAAACTTAGTATGCTCAGTAACACAGTGGAGCCTGGCAAATTCCCATCACTGAGCAATGCTGGATTAAGCAGCCTGACAGAGGGGATCTTAGATCTGTTTTCAGCAAAGGCTGTGTATATGGGACACCCTGGCATTGATCTACACACTGTGTGTGTTCAGAACAAACTGAGTAACATGTTTCTGTCAGAGACTGGTGTGACCCTGCTCTATGGACTTCAGACTACAGACAATAGATTACTGCATTTCGTGGCACCAAGGCACACCGCTAAAATGCTCTTCAGCGGGTTGTTGGAACTCACTAGAGCTGTGAGAAAGATGAAGAAGTTCCCTGACCAAAGACAGCAGTGGCTGCGGAAACAGTACGTCAGCCTCTACCAGGTAATGGGAGTAGCATCTCTGCTGAGTAGTGGGATCCCCAACAATACACACTGGACACTTCCAGTTCTACCAGTTCCCAGCTCTGCCACTTACTACCTGTGTGAACTTGTGCAGCTTTTACTTAGCCTCTCAGTGCAACCATTCCCTTTTCTATAAAATGGAAATGATAACAATACCTGTTCATAGGATGGCTGTGAGAGCAGATTGGTACATTTAAAGCCATAGTGTAAATTCATATGTGTAAAGAATAATTATCTGCTCATGGTACGTCCTGTAATTATTTTGTTGACGAAAATAGTGATTATAGTCATTATAGTTCTCATATCTGGAGAGAAAACTGGTTAATAGAAGCAATTCCTTTGACTAAAGGTTTTAATCAAAAGCACTGTGAGCTAAATTGTTTCATTAGTAATTACTGACTAGCTGATACACTGGAAACTTTCCCTTAGGAAATTGAAATTCTGATTCATTACTTAACATGCTATGTGACTCTTGGAGAGTTCTGTTTAACTATGTATCACATACTAACTGTAGAACTTTTGAGGATAAAAGAAACTTTCCCAAATGTGGAATAATTCTTACCTAGAGTTCTTCCTCCCCAGGTTTATAGTATCAGCAGCCCCCAGCAGGCAGTGTTTCACAGTCTGCTACTTAAGTAAAATGAGTTTCTCCTTAGCCGGGACTTATTAGGTACTTTATCTCTTCAGAGTGGTAATGGGGCTGGGCTAAATGAGGCAGTGAGAAGAGGAGCACAGGTGTAACCAGAATAGCATGCTCATCAGAAAGGAGAGTGCCTACTGCTGATAAATTGAATTGTGACTCCTGCCACCAGCTGACACTGTTGAAACGGCGCTGTCAAATGAATTCTATCAATGAATTCAGTGTTTATTTATCATGCTTTTCTGTCTTAATGAGAAAATACATTAGTGTCACAAATTGAAATGACTTAAATGACTCAAATGGTTGATTTCATGTATTTTCACAGTTCTAAAATGTTTCCGACAATTAAAAACATTTCCTCCCTTTTCCCTTTCCCCACTCTCATGTGATGATTTTAAGTAGAAATCATATCCTGAATAACTAATTTGATGCATTAACAAATAGCCCTATCTGTTCGTGCGTGTTAAAGCTACATAGCACAAAGCCCTTTTAGTTAAATCATCTAAGGTGGAAATCAAAATAGTTGCTTTCTACGTGTTCCACAGGGCACGTTCAATGTGGTTGACTGAAAGAAAAGTGTTCAAGAGCTATCACGAGTATTCAGTTTTAGAACTCTTCCTCAGCCTTCTAAAATCAGCAAAAGCCATCACATATGGACATAATCAGCCTTTGAGGTCAATTGCAATCCCTATTACATGCCTATGTGTTTGCTCCATTTATTTCCAACTCCAGTTTCTCCATCTGTTTCTTTGTCCAGCTTATAGCGTAAGTAATTGAATTAACACATGAGATATACTTGCTTTCTCCTTTGCCTGGCAGCCTTCAGCTCTTGCTGAAGGAAGCATCAGCTGAGACTGAGAACAGCTAATGAAGAGAAAAGAGGTGCTTCAGGGGCAAAGGCCAAGTGATCTAGAGAAGACTCAGTCCAACCCAGCTCCAAAGACAATCGACAACACCCTCCGTAAGATGCTGCAGTGTTAAGGCCAAACAGCTCTATGTATCCCAGTCACTTTGGAAATACAGGTGACATTCTTCCTCAAGGCGTCATTTTACAGGTGCCATTCACAAAGAAGGGCAACCTGTCTTGGACTCAAGATTTCTCTCAGAAGAAAATGTGGAGGAAGCCAACAGACTGATCATTTTCTCCTCACTTAGGCCATATCCCAAATTGTCACAGGGAACCCCAAGATGCTGATATAATACTTAGAGATAAAAGATCAAATAGATCTTTTGTTAATGTTAGCTGTTCATGTGTGATGGATTTTTCTGCTTCTGAAAAACTGAAGAATATTCCTAATTAAAAATCAACATTGATGATGGCTCCCGAAGACTTTTCTTCCAAATAGCTGATGACACTTAAAGCTCCATATAGAACTCACAAAAAGCAGGTATTTTGCTTCCATTTTAGATAAGTTAATTAAAACTGGCTATGTGTCATGTAGCAATAGCATTCTCATTAAATGATTTTTCTTTTTTGAGCCAAGGTCTCACTATAAAGTCCAGGCTGGCCTTGAAATCCCTAGGTAGCCCAGGCTAGTGGCAATCCTTCTGCCTTAGCCTCCTGAGTGCTGGGATCACTGGCATGCGCCACCAAGCCTGACTTGTTAAGTGATTTATGATACATGTTAGCACATTAAATGCCCTGAGATGCCTAGTACCAAAAAAATTATTTAAATTAAAGAAAGTTTTGAGAAAACTTTTTTGAATTTTTCTAAACCTATGTTAATAGCCCTAGAAGAACATTTATTTATTCCCAGTTTGAGAAATATTCACACAGAAAATAAAAATAATCTTCCCAACATTAAGTTTCCCTTGTGCAGTGAATGTATGTGAAGTTACTTTCAAATACTGTAAGGGGTTATACTTGGTCAGTTTGGAAGAGTAACAGGAAAGCAAAGAGAATAAACAGTAATATTTGTAGTGAAGCCTTGGAAAACCCAAGAAAAAAAATGACAGTAACCTGTGCAGAGATGTCGGTGTGGGGTGTAAAGGAGAGACTGACCTCATAAACTTCAACTCAACTCTATCATCGCAGAGCTGGTATTTGGAAAGAGCCCTAGGAAGTTCAGGAGATGATACCCTGAATACTAACTCGATGCACACTCACAGTATAGTAATATTCAAAATACTCTGTTTCCCACGGGCTCTGCATCTACCTTCAGATTTCAGTCACTCAAAAAAGATGGCAGCTCAACTCTTTGAGAAGCTCCAAGGGCCACATAAGCCTTATACCAGTATTGAAATAACATCAAACAAGATGAAGAATCTACCTGGCGCAACGTAATAACAGACAAATAGAAGCTACATTTTCTTTAAACACTGTGTTAGTTACTTTTCTCTTGCTGAGATAAAATACCCAATACCTAAAATAGTGAAAGGAGGAAAGGTTTATTTAGCTTACAGTAGAAGTTTCAGTCTATAGTTGGCTAATTCCAAGGCAAAATGACAGAGGAGCATCTAGGAGGAGAACAACAGTTGATTGTGCCCACAAGATAGCAAAAGCAACAACGGACATTTAACAGTGTCTTTCTGCCCCTTTTATCTTATTCAGACTACTTAGGATGGGTTGTACCTTCAGGGCTAGCCCCACCATGAATTAATCACACACTCTAGATTCTGTCACTTCTGAAAAAGTATGAGGCTTTGGGGAGACGTCTAAGCACAAGCCATAACAAACATAATCACATCTTGTTCCCTAACCCCAACACCAGTAAGTCCTTCAAAGCCCTGCTTTACAAAATGAGTCTTAATGAATTTTCCTGCAGTATCAGTTCTGACACATAAACTCTGATTCCAGGATAAGGAATGTAGTTTTCCTGCTTAATGGTTCAAAACACATCACTGCAACTGATCAAGGACATGTCCAGGACACACTACAAGGAGTCAAAAGATAGAGAGTTAGAATATAGAGCCACTTGGTGGTCAGATCATTATTCCTCTGTGGCTGCCTGTGCTCTTCCACCTCTGGGAATTAACTGGTAGCCATTAACATATTTGTTTCCCATTGCTTGCTACTGCCTTGTTTGTTCAGCATGCGGTTCTTTTATAGGAGAATGGTCGGTATGAAGGCCCAACTTTAGCTAATGCAGTGGAGTTATTTGGTGGAAGACGGTGGAGTACTCAAAATCCCAGCCCCGGAACATCAGCAAAAAATGCCGAGAAACCCAGTATGCAGAGAAACAACACCCTGGGCATAAACACCACCAAGAAAAAGAAGAAAATCCTCATGAGGGTAGAGTGGTATTTGTTTATTAAGCATCACACCCAACCTTCCAAGATGATTATGTGGTTTATATCACCATAAGCCACCTTACATCATTTGAGTTGGGGACAATGTGAGGTATAAAACAAGCAATACAAGGGCTTGCCACATATCTCTTGGGTGCCAGTGCTTATTCCAGGAACCAAGATAATACAAGGGAACATGCAAAGTTCACAGAAAGACACAGATATAAACAAACAGTGCAAACAACAACAGTCTAATCTAAGTAAGACTCATTTCAGGCATCTGCATAGTCCTATAAGAGCAAAGAGAAGGAAAATATAAACTAAGAGACAGGTGGAAAAGACCTCACAGTGCAGTTGACAGATGGGTCTCAGAGGGTATGTAGTAGTTTACCAAACAGACATTGCAGAGGAAAGCATCCCAGCAGAGACAGTGGAACCACATGGAGACTTGGCTTGCTCAGGGAAGCACAAGCCATTCTTGGAGGCTGGAGCATGAGTTCTGTGGTGGGTAGGGAAGGGCTAGAAAAGAAGAGGAATCACTTATGAAGGCCCCACAGGGCCATAATGTTACACGCACAACACAACTTAAAATATATATTATCACTATATATTATAAATTGTGTAATATATATTATCACTATATCATGATAATGTTCATGGCCATCTAAAAAATATCACATCCTTTCATATGGGAGGCCGTTGATGATTAGTAGAACTTTATCTTCTTCACAATTGTGTCGAGACACAGAGACTCCAGGGTTTGTGAGCCACCTCCTTCTGCCTCCCTCCCTGAAGAACGCTGTTTTAGAATGAAGCACAAACTAGATAATGTGACCTGAGAATTCTTGGTGCACCTCAGCGTAGGTCTTTATCACTCTTACCAGAAGGAGCTAGTACTGAAGGTCGGCAGATTCAAATAGAGTCCTGCCTGACTAACACAGTGATGGGAGGGAAATGGTCTGGGAGTCATCGTGAGCCTTGTGTTCCCAGGGTGAGAGTGGAGAGGCAACTGATGATGAGATGACAACCCGAAAAGCCAAAATCCAAAAAGAGTGTCGAGGCCGGAGTGGTTCCGATCCTCAAGACATTAATGAACAAGAAGAATCAGGTAACACAGCTGTTCACCTCTGAGATCTTTCTTTTTTAGTTTTCAGGGGGAAATACACATTTGGGTTTAAACTATGATTTAACAGTTGTGGAATTCTTAAACAAAATTATATTGTTAGACATACCTTTGTTTTTAACCAGATTATAAAATCCAAAAGGTCCTTTTATAGGTATAAGGTCCTTTTATAGGTATAATGTACTTGGAAGCTAATGAATTTATCTTATGAGCCCAGAATATTAGATGTACAAGGTACAATTTGATGGATTAGATCAGTCATTCTCAGCACTGGATGTATAATGCAGCTTTTGAAAATATGTCTGGATATCCTGGCCACACCCAAAACCAGGTTCCAGCTCTGTCTGGAACCTGGGCGTCTATGTATTTTTTAAACTCTCAGACGATGGTACAGTGTAGCCAGTGAAGAAACCATCAAATTCATCTATTCATCAAAAATACTTTAGTGCTTCTTATACAGAAAGTGGTTTCTGTATAGAAATAGATTGCATGTATTGCTTTGCTGAGACATCCGGAAGTACGTTCAGTTTGTATTTGATTTCTAAGGGAAAGGAGAATCTGAATCATTGTCTTTTGTTTCCTTCACCTTCAGAGGCTGATGCCATCGCTGGCCCTCCCAATCCCCTCCCTTCAAGAAGAGCTCATTCTTTGACCACAGCTGGGTCCCCCAACTTGGCTCCCACAACATCTTCTCCCATCAGGCCAGTCTCCTCTCCTGTGCTGTCTTCTGCAAACAAGAGTCCGTCCAGGTGGGGCTTTAACATGATAAACCAGAACGACCCTTCTCAGCATTTCAGTTGTATAGAGGGGCATGTTCTGTGCTTCCAATTATCAGTTGGAAGATTATCTCTAAAATCACCAAATTTAAATTATCCTAATTTTCTCATTTATACTCCTACTCTTTCATGTACTGTAACTGTCCCTAATTACTTGAAAAGCCAATCTTTCCAAGGTCATTAGCAATAACAAAACCAATCATCTGTGATTCTGTAAATCTTCCCTGTTCAATACTATAGCCACGAACCTCAAATGGGTATTTAAATTAATCAAAATTACATTAAATTTAAAAATCAGTTATTCAGTCACAGTAGCCACATTTCAAGTCCTTCACAGCTACAAGCAGGTAATGCTGAATGCTACAGGCAGAGGACATTTCTATAATCAGAAAAATTCTGTTGGATAGCACCACCATAAATGACTAAAGTTTTCATGTAAGTTTCCTGACAGTTTGCTGATAGATAGATGCTTTCTTCATATATTATAAAGGTTATACATGCCTGGAGAAGTGAACACAACTATTAGATATAATTCTGAATCTTGTACTATAGTAAATTATCACATAAGGACCATACAAATTCCAGGTTCAAAACAAAATCTATCCTCTCAGAAGAAATAATATAAAAATGAAAGGCTTCCAGGCCGGGCATGGTGGCGCATGCCTGTAATCCCAGCACTTGGGAGGCTGAGGCAGGAGGATCGCTGTGAGTTCAAGACCAACCTGGGCTACATAGTTGAGTTCCAGGTCAGTCTCAACTACATAGTGAGACCCTGTCTCAAAAAACAAAACAAAACAAAATGAAAGGCTTCCAAAGGGAACCAGAATGAAGGGCTGGGGATTTAGCTCAGTGGCACTGCATCTGCCTGGCAAGTGCAAGGTCCTGAGTTCAATCCCTGGTACTGGGGAAAAAAAAAAAACAAAGGGAACCAAAAAGTGACTCTATCTCCCTCCACCTATATATTTCAAATAAAGTTAAAGAAATTCTGAGATTCTAAACAGAACCAAAATTAAATAGTTGCTCTTCACTTTCTCACACAGGAGTGAGTCTGCGCAGGCACTGGGTTTGGAAACATTGATTTCATTCTCTCTGCCTTCCTCCCTTCTTCCTTCCTTCCATCTCCCCACACCCATATACATTTATAACAAACTAAAAGTTATAAATTATCAGAATTCTTCATGTTAAAATTTAGGCCTATGCAGGACCTTGGGTAAATAAAATAAACAGATTACTTAGATCAAGCGACTTTTATCTTTATTTTAGTCACTCATAAGCAGGAAGAGGAAGGACTGAGGGTAAGAGAGGAAAAGGGTGTGAAAGAGAAACTAACAGGCCGGATCCACGGTCAGAGGGCCCATCCCCATGAGGACAGCGATTAGTGGCCACTGGCGTATTACAAAGTAGAAAGAAAAGACAAGACAGGAAAAGGAAAACGAGCCTGAGTGCTGTTCAAGGAGAAAGAAAGACTACGTCCAGTGGGAGAAAGAGTGAACATAGTTTCTCAGAGTCAAACGAGATGATTCCTACAGGCAAGAGACAGGCCACTAGAAAGAAGGAAGGAAGATAAGGAATCGCTTATTGAACTTAAAATGAGGAAGCTGACTTTCCCTCTCCCTGAACTCGCAGCCTATGTTTCCCACTCCACATTGACTTTCCACGACCTATGCCTCCATGCTACTGTAGACCTGTGAATGTGTAATACTCTTCCACTGAAGGAGGTGACCTTCAGATGTCAACACAAAATAATTTTCCATGAGCAAAGACTGTTAGTAAGATTGAGATTAGACTGCCTCTTCATTATAACAGTCTCAGCATTTTCTTATATATTTGGAATATTTAAAAAATCCAAGACAAAAAGAGAAAGATCTTAGCTGCTGACTTAACTAAAAAACAGTCAAAACTATTTTTTATTATTCTTTGGGGAATCTCTATCAAAAATTGTAAATGTAAAACAGTGAAACTAAATTTTGACTGAGTTGCCTGGTATTTTATACTGAATGGGTGCAGCTTTGGCAGAAGCAAATATAACCCTAGGAGAAATTGGCTTCTTTCCATTCTAAATATTTTCTGATTTGTATTTCCCACTAATAGTAAAAGCTCTTCTCTGTTTTCATTGAAGAGCTATTTAAGAAATGAAAAGAGAAGACACCGGTGCACTAAAAACTTTCCTCTTAAATGTGTTTCAATAATTGAAAATATAAAAAAAGAACATGTGTTACTTCCCATAAATTATGATTGAATGATTTGGAGCTCTTCTTTAAAAAAGCTTTATCTTGAGATGCACTGAACTTAGGAGTTTGTTTCCTCCCATTGATCTCTGATTTCAAAGAACTGTTTGATTAGCTGAGGAAATTTGAACTCAGTCTTATACCCTTATTGGCTGCAGAAACAAAGTGGTTTCAGTAGGTGATGTTTATTTCCTCTGAACCAATCTGGAGGAGGGGAACCAAAGAGGGTATACAGGTAAACAGCGGCAACTGGAAATGTCTTCTTACAGTGCCTGGAGCAGCAGCAGTTGGCACGGGCGGATGAAAGGAGGAATGAAGGGGTTCCAGAGCTTCATAGTTTCAGACAGTAACATGAGTTTCATTGAATTTATTGAGCTGTTCAAGTCTTTCAGGTATGGCACAGACTTCCTCCTTACTTTTTCTCAGGCCTACATTTTTATAACAGTACTAAATGGGAGGTATTGTCCATCCCTTGCTCAGTGTGAGGAGCCGCAAGGACCTGAAGGATCTCTTCGATGTCTACTCTGTGCCCTGCAACCGATCGGGCTCCGAGTCAGCCCCCCTGTACACCAACCTGACAATCGAGGAAAGCACCAGTGACTTTCAGCCTGATCTAGGTTCGTTTAACATTTTAGGATTTCCCTTTGAGACTTTTCTGTCTTAAAAATCACAGTGATCCACTCACACAAACTCTCAGCCTGTCCCACATGGCATACTGTTTCCTGGAGCCGGGTGAAGCAGAGAATTCTTTAAGGGGTCATTTGGTGTTCTGGGAGAAGATGCTATGGTCATCTCTGTGGGGTTCTGCCCATTATTCCAGGATATTTAACCAATAGTGAGTGCCTTCCTATCATTCTGACAACCAGAAACCCTTTCCCAACCATTTCCAAATGTTCATGGGTCGTATGAAGTTTCATAGTTGAGGAATACTAATCATTCCAACTTACAGGCAGGACGTTGCTCAAGGCCAGGGCAGTAGTTACCTTCTCTTTGACGAGGACAGTCTTTGAATATCTAGTACATTTTTTCCACTGTGTAAAACAGAATGTGTCTCTCTTCTCTCCCACTTACCAGCACCACTGCCATCACCTCATAGACCTTTTTATAGCCACCCATACATTTAAAACCTCTCATTTTTCTCCTCTGTTCTTGCTGGAGCTCTAAACACTAAAAAGCAAAGAAAAAGCTTTTTATTGATGCAGTTTCTTCATAATTATTTATAGGCTGATGTTGTCCTTAGACTATTGTTGGATACCTGTTAAAATATGCATACCTATTCATTAGTCAAATCATTACACTTTTGAAAAATTATTGGATTTTACTTTGTAGAGAATTTTTAGTTTATGGAAGAATGAGCTGAAAGTTACTGTACAGAGTTCACATATACTAACCTCAACACCCCTGTGCACGCATGTGCTCACCTACACACAAACACACACACACACACACACACACTGACTTTCCTTGATTAGAAATACCTTGCATTAGTGAGGTGTATATGTTACAGTTGAGTTCATAGTGACACATTATTGTTACCTGAAGCCCATAGTTTATGGGTTCACTCTTTGTGTTGTATGTTCTGTGTTTTTACCAATGTATAATGTCATGTAGCCACCATGATAGTATCACAACAGGGTAGTTTCACTACCCTGAAAATCTCTTTTCTATCTTTTTGTCCCTTCCTTCTTTCTTTAAAATCCCTGATAAGTAGTGATCATTTTTACTGTCTGTCTCCATAATTTTGCCTTTTCTAGACTGTTTGTTATATCATTGCAATCATACAGTATGAAGACTTTTGAGACTGGCTTCTTTCATTTAGCAATGTGCATTTAAGTTTCCCCCACTCCTTTTTTGAAGTGTGATGATTCATTTCTTTTGAAAACCAAAAATATTTCATTGTGTGCTTTACCACAATCTGTTTATCAGTTCACCTACCAAAGGATATGTTGTTTGCTTCCAAGGTTTAGCAGTTATAACTAAGGCTACTGTAACACTAGAATGCAAGTTTGTATATAGACATAAGTCATTTGAATAAATATGTAAGAGGCAGTTCTTGGATCATGGCGGACCTATGTTCAGCTCTATAAGAAACTGCTGGGGCCAGGGATTTAGTTCAGTGGTTCTGCCGCCTGCCTCGCAAGCTCAAGGACCCAAGTTCATTCCCTGGTACCCAAAAATAAAGAAACTGCTGGCTGGGCGTGGTGATGAATGCTTGTAGTCCCAGCACTTGGGAGGTTGAGGTAGAAGGATCACTTCAGTTTAAGACCAGCCTGAGCTACATAGTGAGATCCTATAAAAGGAAGAAAGAAAGAAAGAAAGAAAGAAAGAAAGAAAGAAAGAAAGAAAGAAAGAAAGAAAGAAAGAAAGAAAGAAAGAAAGAAAGAAAGAGAAAGAGGAAGGGAGGGAAGGAGAAAGTGCCAGAGTATCTTGCAAGTGGCTAAAATTAAAAATGACTGGCCATACCAAAGTTGGTGTGAATGTGGAGCGATTAGAACATTAGTACACTGCTACTGGCAATGTAAAATGATACAGCCATTTTTCAAGACAGTATAGCAGTTTCTTGGTAAACAGAGATCCAGCAGTTGTGCTCTTTGATAATTTACCCATAAGTTAAAAAGTTGTCATCACATAAAAACCTATATACAAGTGCCTATAGTCAGTTTTTTTAAATCTCATTGAGTTTGTTGGTACATTTTAGGTATACAGTACAGTTATATTCATCATTGGGATCTTGTACCCTTCCATGACAGATCTTGGTTCTCATTTTTCCCCATTCCCCTGCCTTCTCTTCACCCCCTTCACCCTCCCTTATTTACAGACAACATTCCGTTTTTTCCTTTTCTCATATATTTTCTTGTCCCTTATTTCCTTTTCCCTACCCTTCCCACTTCCCTTACACCTTTAGCCCTTTTCTTCCTATTGCACATTATCAGTTATAAAATTTGTATACAGTTATACAATTTACACTTTTAGTTTTTTGTACCAGAGAAACTATTTGCTATTTAGACATTTGTGTCTTATTTATTTCACTTAAGAGTATGGCCTCAATATGTATCCATTTTACTATGAATAACTCTAGTTTCTCATTCTTTATGGCTGAGTACGGTCACAGTTTTGAAGTACAGACTTTTAAGAATCTTAAAACCTAAGAGTTTTAACAGTATTAAGTGTATATTTTTAGTGTCTATGGAAAGAAAAATGTTGAAATAGGTATTCTTAAAAACCCAAATCTGGAGATGGGTGAAGTGGTGCACACCTGTAATTCCAGCTATTTGAGAGGGTGAGGCAGGAGGATGGCAAGTTTCAGGCTACCCTGAGCAACTTAGTGATGCCTTGTCTCAGATTTTAAAAATAAAGGAAAAAAGGGGCTGGGCACATAGCTCAGTGGTAGAGCATTTGCCTAGTATATTTGAGGCCCTGGGTTCAATTCTGGGAAAAATAAATAAAAATCTGAATTTGGCCTCCAATCTCCAACTGAATCTACGTATTTCCCAATAGAATACTTAAGTGTATGAGATTTCAGTATTCTCAACCTAGCTCTTTCTTAGTTTATGTATTCCTTGATTTGTTTTTTAGTCTTCATCTCTATGAAGCAAGGAATAAGCACTAAGCTTCATGTTTTATGTGGAGAGATTTGTAAAAAAGCTTCTCTGGTTTAATGATTCTATAACATCATTATTTTCAAAATGAGCTTTGTGAATGAATGATGCTGGTTACACAAGATCCCATAGTCTGTGATGGCTCTATTTCAGATTTGTTGACTAGAAATGTCTCGGACTTGGGGTTGTTCATTAAGAGTAAGCAGCAGCTGTCAGACAACCAGAGGCAGATATCTGATGCCATTGCCGCTGCAAGCATTGTGACAAATGGCACTGGGATTGAGAGCACATCCCTGGGCATATTTGGGATTGGCATACTCCAGCTCAATGACTTCTTAGTTAATTGCCAAGGAGAACACTGCACGTATGATGAAATCCTCAGCATCATCCAGGTTTGTGCCCTGTGTGTGTGTGTGTGTAATGCCTCTAGCTACTTGTAATTTGCTGCTAAACATTTTCTATACTTATTTCCATAAGCTTCCTCTCTGGGGAAGAAATAGAATGGCTTATTTGTTTGTTTGTTTTGGGTTTTGAAATATCAAGTATATCAGTATTCTTTAACATATAATTAACTTTGGTCTCAAGCTGTCTCTGATTCAGTGACTACTACAAAGAATCGCTGCATGAATTCTTCTGTTATTCTGTCACATATAATAGAATTAGTGTAGGTTTTCCACCTCTTTGTCTTTTAGCATATATTTATTAGCTCCTACTATATAGTTTCTGTTCTGGGAATTACAGCTACAGTACTGAATAAAATCATAGTGCTGGCCCGCCACGCAGCTTATGTTTTAGTGGGTGAGGCAGATAATAAGCAAAAAGATATAGTGTAACTTCAGGTAGTAACAGATTATGAGCAAAGTCAAACAGACTAAGGGCATAAAGTGATGCAGGGAGGCTGAGGAGAAATAAGAAAAAGCCATTATGAGAAGGAGGCATTTGGACTGAGCAGTAAATGGTAAGGTCCGCTTACTACATGAAGTTCAAAGGAAGGAACATTCCAAGCCAGCAGGCAGGAAGCTGCAAGCTCAAAGACTGAGGCAGGAGCAAGCTCAGGGTTTGTGAGGAAAAACAAAAAAGTAAATGTAGTGGGAGCTGCATGAGGATGGCAAGCACAATTTCAAATGATATCTGTGGGCCAAATATTGAGGCTTTTGAACCATGGGAAGGAGGTTGACTTTAGTCCATGTAAAATGGGAAGCCTTTAGGGGTTTTTGAGCAGGAGAGTAATATGATTTATGTTTAAAACGTCACTCTGGCACCACTGGAAAAGAAACTGTTAGTGAAAGATGGAAGCAGAGAGACCGGTCAGGAGGCTCTCACAGTAGCCCAGGCAAGAGGTGGGGATGCCTTAGACTAGAGTGTGACAGGAGATAGGGTGGTGAAACTTCAGTGTGCCCATGCCAGGTGCAACAGAATTAAGTTTTATCACCTGATCAGGAATCCAGGGATCGCTGTGGGCAATTGTATATGATCACTGAAAATGTAAGAATATTATCACATTGTTGAGCACTCACTGTAAGATAATTGACTCCAGGCACAGGACTACGTAGATATGCATATCATCTCGTTCACTTCCCACCAACTTCATGGTAGCTGCTATTATAATCTACACTTTTACGTGGATGAATGAATGGATGTTATATGCATGTAAATAAACCTAGACAACAGAGACATGGCAGCAGGTATAACAATTCCCAATTTGAAACTATACTACAAAGCCACTGTGATAAAAACAGCATGGTACTGTCAAAGAAACAGACCTGAGGATCAGTGCAACAGATTGGAAGACACAAAAACAAATCCAGATGTACTCAGCTACCTCATCTTTGAGGAGCTGACCATCCTCACTGGAGGAAAGATAGTCTCTTTAATAAATGGTGTTGGAAAAACTGGATTTCAACATGCCAAAGATTAAAACTAGACCCTTATCTTTCACCATGCACTAAACTAAAATCCAAGTGGCTTAAACATCTAAATATTAAAAAAGAAATACTAAACTTGCCAGAAGATAAGTTAGGCATAACTCTTGAAGACACTGGCATAGGAAAAGACTTTATGAACAAATCCTTAGTAGCACTGGAACTAGCAGAAAGAATCAACAACTGGAATCTCATCTTATTAAAAAGCTTCTGCACTGCAAAAGAAACCATCAACAGAACTAAGAGACAACCTATAATGTGGGAAAAAATTTTTACCAGCTGCTCCTCACAGGGCTATTATCTAGAATATATAAAGAACTCAACCTTATTCTTTTTTCTTACTCCCTTTTCTCCTAAATAAATATGCTTAGTATAACAAACTCACATATAATAAATATTTTATTTTGTACTGAAAACTACATCTTATTGCTACATTACTAAATTAGTTCAAATATTTGGCTTAGATGTTTCCTGATGAAAACAGAACCATTTTTTTAAAAATGGTGTGGTGGTTTCTTCGCCCCTCTTAGTTTTCTTTACCTAAATAACATTTTTTTCAATTCCTTGCAGAAGTTCGAGCCTAACATCAGTATGTGTCATCAGGGTCTAATGTCATTTGAAGGATTTGCAAGGTGACTTTTAAATTATCTTTTGGCTGTCATTTAAGAGTATACATTGCATTCATGGGATCTTAAGAAAGTATGTTTCATCTAGGTTTCTCATGGATAAAGATAATTTTGCTTCAAAAAATGATGAGTCACAGGAGAACAGAAAAGAATTGCAGCTACCCCTCTCCTACTATTACATTGAATCTTCCCACAATACCTACCTCACAGGACATCAACTCAAAGGAGAATCCTCGGTAGAACTCTACAGCCAGGTACTGAGAATGCCACTTGGAATGTGGTTTTCATTCATCTTTATCATTTATATAACCCGAAAGTCACAAAATCTGACCCCAGCTTTGAAGAGCTTGTAAACTATGGCATGTGAACTCTGAGGAAGCATGGTGTGTGGAAAAACTGACTATACATACAGCAGTTGTTTTTTTTACTTGTTTGTTTTGTTTGCCCTCTATACTTACCCTTTATTCTGGGGAGGAAAAAAATTCTTGAGACTCATAGCTTTTAGATCCTGGTCTGACCTAGTCCTACTAAAATTAGATTTTCCCATGAGAAAACTATCTAATCGTTTCACTAAATGCTAAATAAATCAATATATTGTAGTGGGAATGCTAAGTAGAAAATACAATTTTCTTGTGGAGTTAATCCCAAAATATTGTTTGTTTTGCTTTACAATTTGTTAGACAGTCAATCCATTGCTATGGTAACTAACTGCTCAGACTAATTCTCCCCACACTGAAATTCATGGGAATGTTCTCTGAAACAGTGAGCTCTCTGGACTGGAAAAAGCACATCTTTTTCACCTAAACATCCAACTCTCAATGATGTACCTATCTGTTTGCCTCACTGTTATACTGGCTGCAACTTTTTCTTCAATGCTTCCTGTTTTCTGAACCCCTAGAAAAAGGGTTAATCAGGGGGAGCTATGGTAGGTCCTTGAAGTATAAGAAGGGGGGAATCCAAGTTGAAAACTGTAACTAGTGTTTACACAACCCCAGCAGCAGTAAGTTACTTTCGTTCTCAAATTAGTCCAGGTATCCCTCAGTACGGGATATATTTTTGTCCTAAAGTTTATTTAGCATGGAATGTATACTTTAAACTTTGTTTTCTAAGGAAGCTTTATTATGAAATGAAAATGCACCCTTAGAGTAATGATTGTCAAAAAAGCAATCTATCAGAGGGCCTTAACTGCAAGAAAAACAGGTATAAAGTAGGCCACTTCTGTAGAGTTGGCTTTCTATTTGCACAGAGAAATCCAAAGTGAAATTTGTTGTTCTATGGAAAATACATGAAACATGCACATAAAAATGCAGATTAAATATATTTCATATGTACATACATACATGTACATGTACATCTATGTAATTACATATATATCTGCATATATCTACAAACCTGTGTGTGAGTGTGTTTGTATTCCAGGAAAATAATCAAGGACCAATATCTTAGCTTTAATCTCAGTTCATTATTTCAAAGAAGTTTTAAACAGCAATCTGGGAGTTTGAGATTAGGATAATCGCAAATTTGAGCTCAGCCTGGATGACGTAGCAAGACCCTGTCTCAAAATTTTAAAGATCTGGGGATGTAGTTCATTGCAAAGACCCAGTACTTGGTGGAAAAAAATTTAAACCCCCTTAAAGTTAAGACCCAAGTACAGATGATTATGCTCACTTTGCCAGCACATATACCGAATAGAGATGATCATGTTGGTGCATTTAGTTATGTGATATGTCTTGATTCTTACTTTTTCCCATTCCCCTGCCCTTCCTTCAACCCCCACCCCCATATACATAAGCTTTGTTTCCATTTTTTTCTTTTCCTTCTTTTCTTTCCCCTGCCTGCCCAGTTCCCCTTTCCCTTTAAACATTTTCTTCCTATATCACCAAATATATTATACATTTTGGTCCTCATTTACAACTTCAGTTTCTCTCATACCAGAAAAATTATTTGGTATTTACACGTGTGTGTCCTATTTATTTCACTTATCAGTATGGCCTTAAGGTGCATCCATTTAGTTATAAATGTCTCAAGTTTATGTTCAATCATTTGTTTTGTTTTTTTGTGGGGTTATTTTGTTTTGTTTTGTTTTTTGGCACTGGGGATTGAACTCAGGACCTTGTGCTTGCAAGGCAGGTGCAGTGCCACTGAGCTAAATCCCTGGCCCCATCATAGTTTTTTAATAAGGCACAAGAATCTCTCAAGCAGACTCACACACATTAAACTAGTATGCAGATCACTTTTTCTTTTACTTCATTTCTAAATACTCTCCACTTCCCTTGAACCTCATAATTACCTCCTATCATTTTTCTCTGTAAAGCAGATGGAAAGTGAGAGTAAGCCCCATTCTTCTTACCTAGAATTCCAGCCCTGATTTTCCTATTGTAGCCAGATAGAAAGATCTTAAGGTCATACAGATGTTGGTAAAGACCTTCAGTCTTTTCATGCTGAAAAACCATGCTGAACATTTTTCCTAGTATAGAAGGCTCCCCACAAAGATGAAGCAGCCTTTTATTCCAGTTACTGTGTATTACATAGCAATCTTCAGCCCAAGGCAATTGGCCTGTGGATATACCAGCTGCTGCCAGAAGCTGATAGCCACAGACCATGCTGTGTAATGGGAAGAATCTAGCATGAATAAATTTAAAACAAAAAAAAAAAAAAAAATTAAATGAAAGGCATCTGTTAGTTACTTTTCTCTTGTTGCTGAGATAAAATACTCAACACCCAAAGTTGGAGGGGAAGGGGTTATTTGGCTTACAATTCATAGAGGTTTTAGTCCATAGTCAGCTGGCTCCAAGGCAGGGATGGCAGACAGGTCTAGTAGAAGAGAAACAACATGGCCCGCACAAAGTAGCAAAGGCAAGAAGGGGCCTTCAGTTCGTGGCAGAAGACGCAAAAACAGAGAGAGCTTCACTGAATTTTTCTGCCTCTTTTATCTTAAACAGACTATGGGGATTAGAGCAGTGCCAAACTAATCACTCACATGTAGTGGTTTAGTCATCGCACGCCCTTGACCTCAGCAGCACACATTCCAGATGCAGCTACCTCTGAAAAAGAAAGTCCCGCCTCCTCTGTGTGAGGATTTGGGGGGGACATCGAAACACAAGCCACAACAGCATTTGTTGTGGAAACTCTAGAGGCTACTAAAATCCAAGAATGGATTGCTGTCACTTGGAAATAGTTATATGGATTCTCAGATCAGTGGGTCATCACAGTCGTGGTTCCATCAACTTCTTGGTTTGTTTAGAGGAATTCTTTTTTTTTTTTTTTGTGGTACTGAGGACTAAACCTGGAACTTTCAAACTGACCAGTTTTTTTATTTTTTATTTTGAGACAAGGTCTCATTAAGCTGCTAACCTGCCCAGGCTGGACTCAAAACTTGCCATCTCTGTCTCCCAGAGTACTAGTATTCTAGGCCTCTTGCATCATGTCCTGCTTATATGATAATTTTAAGGTAATTTATAGATAAAGTATATGGAGGAAGAGGTTGCTCCAAAAGATAGATAGATAGACAGATAGACAGACACACAGACAGACAGACAGACAGACAGATTAGACAGATAAATTTTACCATTTTACCTTCCAGCAATGCTCAGCTCTGGTAAACACCTTTTCCAACTTAATCTATTCTTTCCCCCTTTCCACCCCAGATTAATTGTGGGCTTTAGCCAAAATAAAATACTTGCTTTAGATCTTACACCCTTCTGCCCTATACCTGAATGTAAATGTTGACTGATGTATAGAGCTACGTGCTGGATTCAGGTAGAGGCTTTATCTCCAGGTGTTCACCTGAAGTGGATTCATTCATTGGTCACACAGGTCCTCTTGCAAGGCTGCAGAAGCATAGAGCTGGACTGCTGGGATGGAGATGATGGAATGCCCATTATTTATCATGGACATACGCTGACAACAAAGATCCCCTTCAAGGTAATGCTTCAGCACTTTGTTTGTGATAGCAAAAGTAACTCCCAGTCTGTTAGATACCAGATGTGCCCAGTTTGTGGTCGCACAATGACAGTGAAGTCTCAAAGGAGGAAGTTAGGAGAGTTTTATTGGAAATAAGGTGAAGAATAGCTCCTGGATTTCCAGGAGGGATCCTAAGTGGGTGACCACTGAGGCTGTTTGTCAAGGGTAATTTATACAGCATGTTATACAACATGGGTAAAACTACAATCAACCTCTAAGATTACAAATATGGTCACATGGCTAACATTGATCCAATTAGGAAAACAAATCATGTTGAGAAGGTGTACGGAAAGAGCAAAGGCATTCCTGGGAAGGAGTGGGAATACGAGTGCACATGTTCTGGTCACACCTATGTACTTCATGCCTATCTAGGCTCACTGGACCAGGTGGTGCTGACTACATTATAATCTCAAATTGCTGTTTATCTCTAGGGAAGTCTACAAGCCTGGCTATTGCATCTCCATTTTGAGGCCTGGTGCTCTTTAGATTCACCTCAAGCCGGTCTTATGTCTGACTGCATATTAATTTCTGTCTAATTTAGCTGTCTAAAATACCCTCCAATCAAATCGCAAAAGACATTCTCTTCATTTTTCATTTAGTCACTCTACCAAATTCTACCTTAAGTTGAAGTTTCTTATGTTTAATCTGAATGAAGAGTTCTTGAAAGTATTTATAGTGTTTTGTGGGGTGTGCATATGTTCTTTTTTTGACGAGTTGATACCAGAACTCTCATTAAACTCTTATTCAACCAGAGTTTAGTAACTCCCCACTTAACTTATGTTATTTAGGATATAATCATATTGTTGCAATTTTTGCATGACATAATGATATAAAAATGCAGCAACTGGTCCCCTGCTATACAAATTGAAGGTCATTTATCCTGGTGTCCTACTGACAAAGGGCAGTATCATGTGTTAGATTATTAAATAATTAGTAATGAGAATGAGTTCCACCTAGGAAGATGAGTCACCCAGGAAGACTTGGTCTCATTGGATTATTATTCCAAATTCCGGGTAGCTTATTAGTTCAGTTTTAAAATTATTATTCATTCAGAGGGTCTTGGCCACATAATATCATTTTTCTCTGAACTGTTGTCAGGTTGAAAAGGAATATTATTTTCATCTCATATGAAGAGATAGGGCTAAAATATATTTCCTTGAACTCATTTTCCTGTTCAGCATATTAAAACTCTTGTACTATATATGGGTGGAAGTATGAGTTGATGATTGTATTTATAGACGTACACAAATAGATGTGATACATGTCTTATTGCTCCAAACTATGTAAGTAGTATTCACACTAAGTATTAACCTAGAGATTATTTAAAGTACATGTGAGGATGTGTATAGATTATGCAGTAATACTACACCATTTTCTGTAAGGATTTGAGTATTGCACAGATTTCATTATCCCTTGGGTCCCTGGAATAAATCCCCTACACATTGAGGGATAACTGTACATTTTAAAAGATGAAAGTACCTCTGGCCAGAGACTATGGAATACAATAACTGAGATGCTTTCAGTGGCTATAAGTACCTTACCTTCTCACCATGGTGGGCAGATACTGACTCTAACAAGCTGTTTGGATTGTCGTAGGAAGTAGTTGAAGCTATTGATCGCAGTGCCTTTATCAACTCTGACCTGCCAGTCATCATATCAATTGAGAACCACTGTTCATTGCCTCAGCAACGAAAAATGGCAGAAATTTTCAAGGTGAGCTCTGAACTAAGAGGCAGGATGGTGTCTTGTCTTTGAGTTTTATATGGGGCTATTGTAGACCATACTACAGCTATACTTTGGCCCTGAAGCACGTACTGTTAGGGTCCCATAGATTTGAGAAATAGGGCTCCCTTGGAGAGATTGGGCCTCTTCTGGAATGGTCCCTCTTTTCAGCTGGAGTGACATCAGCGTTGTTCTCTGGTCTCCTAACTAGAAAGCTTTAGGAGATAAGGACAGACCAACTCTCCAACTGGTACCACAAGTAAAGGATGCCATCCTGGGATATCCTGGGAGCTTTATGTAGAAAATACAAGTATTTCAGAGCAAGTAAGTCAGATCTTGTGACCCACAGTAGAGTAGAAATCCAAGTTAGCAGGGTTTAGATTGAGCAGAACAATTGCTATTTTAACACCAACCTTCATTACACAAGGGACACAGAATGCAAACAGGATTAGCAGCAGATATTTCATTAAATTTCCCTTCCTCAGTAATACAAGCATTTGTGGAAGGCAGAGGAAAATGTCCCCTAATACAAATGCTTAAAAAGTTTAAGATCTTTGTATTGCCTTGGCCTAAGCTTTGATGCTTGTTCTTTTTAAATTCAAAAATAACTAGAAAAAAATTGCTGTATTATCAGTCTTTGCCCCAATTAATCATCCTGTGTCTACCTCCTTCCACCCACCTCCATTCTGCTTTGAAGACCAGTGCTCAGAAATCTTTATGAAAATGTGGTTCTTTATTTTATGTGGGGCAGATTCTCCCTACTGCCTTCATCTTTGTCCCCACTTCCAGTCTCCTCCAAGATTTCGGCCTTTCTGACTCCTTTTCCTCATTGGGAACAGACCGTATTCTGCAAGCCACAACCTCTAACTGAATCTCTGTTTTCTTGTTTAATTCATCAGGCCCCAAAACATTTTCCCAAATAATTAGATTTGGCCTGAACTACAGAATAGCCTAGATCTCTCCTCCATGTAAACACTTCCCTTCCTTACAGTAAGAAGCTATAGAGAGAGAATAAACAACTTCTTTCCTAGTTCCTCTTCCTGGAACTTTTAAAACAATTCAACCAGGCTGAAAACCTGAGTCTCATGAAATATAAATATATTTATCAAGTACAGGTAAAAAAGCATTGATTGCATTTTCCTTTATTATGTTTAGACTGTGTTTGGAGAAAAGCTGGTGGCTAAATTCTTGTTTGAAACTGATTTCTCCGATGATCCAATGCTTCCCTCACCTGACCAACTTAGGAGGAAAGTGCTTCTTAAAAACAAGAAGTTAAAGGCCCATCAGACACCAGTGGACATCTTAAAGCAAAAGGTACTCTGCTGTCCTTCATCGGGTTATGAATATTCTGTGTGCTCAGAACAAAGAAATCAGTATTATAGTATTTGGACCTTTCAGTATTATCACTCCCTTAAGTGATGTATTTGTCTTTCTATTTCATAGACCAATAAATTCTTTATCCTACATACCTAATAGTTTATCTTGTGGAAATTGCTCCCATGAAGAAGGTAACCCTATTATTTAAATTATTCTGAGTAGGATGATGGTGTAACTATTATCAGGGTTGTCAGACTGCAGTTGTTGCTGCCTTTTAAGGAGATCCTCCTTTAGGGATTGCACTTGGGCATATGGGGCTGCAAAGGAAGCCCAACAGCAGCTGCCATCTGACCCCCAGGCATCATCACAGTATGTTGATCCCAAGGTGCTTCCATTCCACCTCATATACAGAGATTTTTTTACCATGCCTCACATACCCAGCTATCCGGGAGGGCCCTCAGCCCAAGGACCTGTGAAAATATTCTGGTCCAGGACACAGAGTCCGTAGGCTGGTCTCACTTGCTTAGCCTACACAATGACAGTTGCGAAAACTACTTGCTGTATTTAGGACACTGTTGGCCCGAAAACATTTCTTACAATCCCAAGATTTGCTGCATGCGCCTCAGCCCACACAGAGGTTGCACCAGGAGTAGGAACTCCAAAGCCCAAATTCTATATATCCCAGAGCTTTTCATTTTTCTTTGTGCCAGCACCTCCAAGCCTCCCAGTCCTGCTTTAGTGGTTTCAGAGAACGGAGAATTAAGTACAGTGAATTTGGAACTATTGTCCTAGATGATTAATTTTAAAAAATATCAACTCAAATTGAGTCCAGTACCCAGTTTGACATGGTTGAATAGTCAGTTTGGACCAGTCATCAAGCCTCCTCAATGCCAGAATGAATGATATGCAGAGCTGCAAGAGCTGAAAGACAGAGTGATATGTAGCATAATGTTGGAATACAATAACAGCAGCTGGGGAGCTGAGATACCAGGCTGTTAGCCACTGGCTGTGTCATTCACCAGCCACATGACCATGGACCAATTTTCTTTGCCTCCATGTCTTTATCTGTAAAATGGAAATGTTATGGTATCCAGCCTCAAGGAACCCTTCTGACTAAAATCCCACCAAATGTTTCCCACTGTACATCATAGGACCCCTGTTACAATTGCAGACAACTCTGTGAACATTTTATCATTCCACACCTCAGTCTCCATGTCCAGTGTTTCTTGCCATTATGGAACATTACTGTTTCTCTGAGAGACCCCTGGTAGCTCCTGTTATCTGCTGTCCCAATAAATCCCAAGGAGTTCCTAGATTGTCCAACTTACCGGCAGAGTCTGGGTAGCCCAAAGTCCAGGTGGAATGATGGCTCTATTGTATCACCCATCATACTCACAAAGTCCAAATTGCCTTTCATGCCCTCATAGTGGGAAAAGAGAAAGTAAGACCAGAGGCTCCAAAATCTTTAAACTTATACTTCTAGGCACAAAAGTACGTGTTTCCAGAAAGGCCTCAAATTGACCCAGCCTAATGGATCATGTCTGATCAGGCATGCCCTAACTACGTTGCTCAGGATTGTCACGGATCCTCTAGACCTATGGCCTTCAAATTGTTTTGCTCAATTATCAAGAATTTTGAAAAATTATCTACCTCTTTTACACTTTTTTTCCACTAGTGCATTTTTAGGGTCACATTAAAAAAATCTTATGACAAGTTTGAATAGTTACAAAGGCTAGATTTCTTAACATATTATTTGTTATATACATGTATTTTACATACATATATACATATACAAGTACTGTATATAAATATATGTCACCTTATAAAATGAATGTATATTATGTGTGTGTATACACACACACACAGATATTCCTCATTTAATGACCTATCTGTTTAATGAATGTTCAGACTTACAACCTGTGGTGTTTTTTTTTTTGTACCGTTCTGTACATCTTATTTATAGAGCCTTGCTGTCCTTTTTTATGCAGTACTGTAATTTTTGCTGATTATACTGTACAGTGTAATACTGTAATTTTATGTTCTGTTATACATTACAGTACTGCATATAAGAGCTATGCATCTAAAAGCAAAGTCAGCAAGTTGGAGTTTCCTTTGTTCTGAATATTGTAATGTATATGCTATATCTATTTCCTCATTTAGCAACCAATTCATTTAACCTGCAGGACCAGAGCTATTTGTTAAACAAGGAATGTCTAAAATATATATCCCTCATTGAATTAATCAGCCAGACTTAATTTCTGTTAAAAAAAAGTCTGAATTTTTAAAATTCAAATAATTATTGTATTATCATCTCTATCTTTTTTTTTTTTTTTTTTTTTTTTTTTTTTTTT